AACTACTTTGAATTGTCCATTACTGGTAGTATGTGTGTCAACTGCTAGTGGTGCTATTACATATTGATGGTCTTGCATCCATTATTCCTGGTAGTTGTCAATTGATAGGAATGGAACTAATATTCACTATGCAGTATTGTTCATTGCTTGTAGTATGTGAGTTGACTGTGCACTGTATCCAATTACTAACCAGTAGTTAAGCGAGCTGACTTGCGACAGTGACATAAATATTGTAATACTCTTCTATTATACAAGTGACTGTAATGTGTGACCATCAGGTAGTGTTTGTTGATATACCAACCATGTTGCTATTGTCTCCTGAATTCAGATGCTGATACAGGGAGATAAATGTTACAGGTTCCTTACCAAATTCATCACAATGTTGTTTTAGGGAATGTTCAATAACTGGTTGGACCAAGCCGTTTGATTAGTATGTTGTAAGGTTTTCTCAAACTTGTACTTTAAATATATTTTAAAATTAATTCTAAGCTTTAAAGCAAAAGTAGCTGCAATAGTCATATAACACGTAATCAAAGTTATCAGTACAATATATTTTGTGCACTATATAAATATTGATTTTTTTCAAAAATATATCCATTTCAGAAATATTACCACTCAGTGAAATGAACTTGAACATGAACGTCAATATATTATGCGGTAATTTTATAGTTACATGGTAATTGTAATTATTAACATTCAAAACTATTAAAGGACTGATTACATTTGATACTGACATTTTTATAGTTGCAACTACTGTTGCTTTCATGAAATTTCACAATTTTAAAAAAAAAGTCTATAAAATTATATTTTAGTCGTTTTTGCAAATAATACGAATAGAGGTACATATTACTTGATACGGGTAATATAACAAATGAAAGGACAAAGTATGAAACACACGAAAATTAAAAATATTCATGATTTTGGATATCAACGTCAAGCGTCAATACAATTGAACACTACACTACATACATACACGCATTGTGCAGTACATTTTAATACAATACAATACAATACAATACAATACAATACAAGATTAAAACACATTTCAAGATGTCGCAATTATAAATATTTACATTACAAATCATTGTGAAGATAAATCTTTAAAAGATAACTATATTTCTAAGTTTACAGCTGTGATACAGGTAACATATTTGATCCATAAGAAATGTATTTGGAATAAAGGTGCATCAGTAGCTGTGACCATCAGCATTTTTGCATCACAAACTTTGATATAATAATAATGTTCATACAAATACAACACAACTAATTTCTCAGCTCATGAATACACTCATTACTTCCAAATGAGGCATAATACACTGATTGTTCAGCTGTGAAGGAAACTTTACATCAAAGATGGGCACAAACTGTTTTCACTTGCATCAGCAATTAAAATTGCTTAAGGTGACAGCTACTGTTGATTTAAGGGGGAAATTGCATTAACACATCGACTGCTGAATCTCCAAAATAATATACCAAGAGTGCATGGTAAAAAGACCTCCAGCAGTTGATGTGTTAAAAACCAAGTTAGTGCCCCTGCTATTCCCAAGGCCTATGCAGTGCTCTCCCCAACATTTTCTATATGATATCTGCTAATTTGTTAATATCGTTACTTGTTGATATGGTAATGACCTGTATCGTTTTGACAAGGATTAGAGGATATGAGAAGCCGGTATCCGATTAATCCTCTGGGGAGAACACTTTATGGGGTGGGTGTGTCCCTCAAGATTTCATTCACACCCATGGTCACGTCAGGCAGGTCAGCAGGGATGTTCAGAATAGCTACAACTTCAGACAAATTGCATCATGAAAACTATAATGTGTTGGAACAACGTCAGCACTTACATAATTTGTTCGTTTAACATACACATGGTCTATTAATGTTCCACTTTGTGTTGTAGCCTCAGTAACACATTGCTTAAACCCTCTATCTTCCATTAGTTTTCGCACACTAGAAGAGACAAATACATTTTCATTAAAATCACCCATTATTGTAGTGCCGCCATGGATTTTATCAATCTCTGTAACTAAAGTCAACAGGTTACTTCTAAATACATCAGCTGTATATGATCTAGGTCTATATACAACAGCTACTGTTAAATTGGCATCCTTCACATGGAAAGCCATGTATTTCAAATTAGAGATGGGCAGATCCAAGAACTCAATACCCTTTAATGTAACACTGTAATACACTCCTACTCCTCCATGAGCTTGTTGTTTTAACTCGGCTGTGATCTTGTGAGATGTATCATAACAACATGACCTTGGTTGGTGGTGAAAATTGAAACTTTCCAGTTGCAATGCGCTTGGTGGATCTGCATTGGGCAACCATGTTTCAGTCAAACAAATAATGTATGATTTAAGGAATCGCTTATCGGACTTCAGATCTTCAATGTGAGAGTATATGCCCTCGATGTTCTGTAAGAACAATCTGTGTCTGAACCTCTGTTCGACAAAGTAATGAACTTTGGCATTTTTAGCATCGCATCTTTGATCTTGTCATTGCAATATATAGCAGACTCTTTGAATTCTTTGATCACCAGTCCATTCAATGTTTTTACACGGCTTAATGCCACATATGCTTGTCCAGGTGAAAATATCTTGTTTAATGAAACTGTTGCCTTTTCTACTGTTAACCCTTGTACTTTGTGTACTGTGCATGCCCAAGCCACGTCTAATACCTCCTCCATTATTCACCCTGTCGTCTTGAGGATCTATTGGTGTGCTGTTTTCTGGTAATGATGAGAAGGATTCTGAACGACTACGCAGTTTAGTTCCAACTTTCTTATTGTCAAACACAACAAAAATTTTTGAAGGAAAGATTTCACCAGGATTCAAACTGACATGGGAAACTGTTCCAAAAACCCCATTCACTAGACCATCACTTACATCAATATTCCTCATTAACATCACACGTGCACCCACAGCTAAAATAATTGTCTTCGCCAAATTTGTATTGTAGACCTTGACAAAGAGTGTGTCTTTCTTCTCTAGCTTCTTACTTCTAGGATTTCTGCTGAAGTCTTGAGCTGTAATGCATATGGGATTGGAACATAACAAATGAAGCTTTTCGACATTACACTTATCAACCTCTTTATTGGTTGCAAAAATATGGATTCCATCACATTCCTCACCGGTTTCACGGCACTGAAGCATGTATACATCACTCATTAACAATTCATCTGATTTCTTCCTTGTTCTTATGTTATTTAGAGTTTCAGCAAACTCTGAATCTTGCTGTCTAACTACGTGTGTTAGCTCAGCAACGGATAAATAATCATTCCAAAGGTCAATACCTTGATTTTCAACATATAATGCTTTTCCTTTTACTGGTGGTAACTGATAAAAATTGCCTACAGCAATCACAGAAATCTTTCCAAATGGTGAATAGTCACCTGTTTGTTTGATTTGTCTAAGTCTTCCATGGACATATGCAAGTAGTTTTTTGTCTACCATTGAAATTTCGTCGATGATGAGAATCTGCAAACTAGCAAGCTTTAAACGTATTGTGTTTATTTCCTCTTCTCCGAGTGGTTGATATGGTAATTTAGCATCAACTGCTATAGCGAAAGTACTGTGTATTGTCAAAGCATCTATATTAAAAGCGGCAACACCTGTTGGTGCAGTCAACAGAACAGATATATCATCAGGATTTGGTACTGTACGAGAAAGAATTCTTGAAGCTTCATAGTATATAGCCTTAATTAAATGAGATTTTCCAGTTCCTGCTCCACCACTTAGAAACATGTGGAAAGGTTCTACATGTATTCCATTACATTTATTTAAGCACCATTGTCGTACTGTATAGAATATATCACATTGCCTATCATTCAAAGACCTGAGCAGTAGTTTAGCTTCATCTCTTGAAATTCCACAGTGATGGTATATTTCACTAGAACAAATATTATCATCTTTTTCCAGCAAGTCTGCTGGCATACTTTCGACAGATTCTCCTTCATTGATGAAGAATTTTCTTTTGCTTTTTCTAGACATTCTAATCTCTCCAGTTCAGATTCTGGGTGAATTTGAGCCCATGCGTCTTCCAAAGCTGGATGTTTTTCAAGTAATCTCTCTGCTGCACCAATCACATCAGCTTCTTTTTCAAACACTGCTCTGTTTCTGTCAATAATACTCTTCACAGTTTCAATTATATGACACCCACATTTAACAGCACCAGTTAGGTAGAATTCTTCATAAGTATTGAATGAGTCTGGTTTCAACTGAACATCTGTTCGAAATGGCAGAAAAAGTTGCAGAGTACTTTGGTAATGTTTCTCTGGGTGTTTAGTGACGGAAAACCTTGCATATCTTATAACTGCTGGCTCAGTTCGGGTTCTCTTCAGCATATGACCAAGTCCATTGTTAAGTTCAATAACTCTTTCCTTATTTCCCATATTTGACACCTCTGATTTTGAGAGAACTCGGTATTCAGAAACAAAAGAAGCAAGACACATGTTATCAAATAGTTCTTCAATTGGTCTGTTCTTGTATCGATCCACCATGCTTGTCATCCAGATATTCTCATTGTTAAGGTTACCAGTTTTATATTTATTTTGAAGAATTTCAAGAGGTCGACTCATTTTAACTGGTTTTTCTCCAGTAGGAATAAACTGTACTTTTCTCGATCCCTCTTTCAATTTTAAATTGCACACTCTGTATACAGCCTCTTGAGCACCTAGCTCTCTGTTGTTAAGATATACACCTAGCTTTTTCATTGCTAGTTTAGCATCTATATTTCCTTCCTCAGAAGCCGCTGTCTGTGCATGTTGTAACAACAAGCCCATTTCTTTCTCAGCTTTTGAAATATAAGAGATGATGTACACTATGCAACTATACGCATCAACAACAAATTGTATATCCATATTCGCATTCCAACATCGAAAAAGATCTTTATTGTATTGGTTGACCCAAACATCATTTGTCTGTCTTCTTAGAACTACACTTGTTTTGTTTGTCAATCTATTATATGTCCTTTCAAAGCGCTCTTGAGTTAGGCCAATACTGCTAAACAAAGAATCAACTGTTGGAAAGTCATTTTCGGTATTTGAGAGTCCCTTCCACATTATTGTGAGAATTTCCTTTGCATCATTTTTCGTCATTGATTTTGGAACTGTGTCTTGTTGGTTCATTCCTTCAAACTCTGTGTCATTATCTGTACATTCTGGTTGCTCTAAATCATTTTCTATATTTTCCGAGTTGTGGTCATTAGTTTCGCATTCATCAATTCGAGCAATGAATGTTTTTTCTGAAGGTGGACGTAGGAAATTAAACCTACAAGTAGTGCCTTGTTTCCTACAAGTTTTAGAATGCCTCGCACTGTGTTTCTGAACACTGTTTACAATATCAAAGAGCTCTTCATCCTCTTCTGCAGATGGTATTTCACAGGTTACATATTTGTCTATAAAGTCTGTTACTTCATGGTCCTGATCTTTATCGATTTTTGGCGCATCTTTGACCCAG